ATCTGTATTGGCATCTGCTTTTCTGCAGCCCTATTACACCAGGATAGAACAGGATGGCTTGGTGCTAGCAGCAGCAGCTTTCTGTGACTGTGAGGCCTGTTTTTTTTTTTTGTTTGCCACTTCTTCCACACTAAACTTTTTCTACAAGAAATGTGAGACAACAGCAAAGGTAGGGGAGTGCCGGTCATATTGAGAGATTTAATTGGGAAATCCACTGTCAGTAATGAAAATGAACCAACGAGCTGCTATCAGTGCTTGTATGGTTGCTGCGCAGCAGCCCTTCAGGCTGGCACATCGGCCCAAAAGTGCGATGGCCCACCAGGAAAATGCCTGGTATGCTAGACCAGCCCTGGTGTTTGGTCAGTTATCTTTGTTGTAACCATCCTTCTTCTTATACTGTTGGAAAGCCTGTTTATTTCCCCCTAAACTGTGCCACATTTGTAAGGAAAACACATATGAAAATGGAAAATGCGCAGTTGCCAAACCTTCTCTGTCAATGCCGAGCAGCTGATTCTACTGTATACTGTTACACTAGGTGCTGACAATTAGGTACTTGATTGGTGCATGATACGCAGCAACTGTAAGCATGGTCCCTACTACAGTGGTCAGTTGAATTCATTTCAATTCAGTTTTATTTATGTATTATTACTTTTGCTGCAGCATTTTCGATCAACTGAAGGCTTTTTGGGGAGTTTTTAAGACAACCTGACAATAATGAATTATTGTCCAGCCTGGAAGAAATAAATGCATGAAGTAGTTTTTTCATACAAAATATTTCTAATTTAAGACATATTGTGCAATCAAAAGAAAACAGTCCAACATATTTGTTTAATATGCACACTGAAGAACATACTGTGGTCATAAAAGATTAATTTAAAAATGATTCTTTACACTGTTACTGGAGGCCAAGGTAATGCCATTCACAGTAAGTATCTGGTTAGAAACCATGTTTCAAAATTTTTAGGGCAGAGCACAATAACCTCAGTTTTATCTGAATCCAGGTCATCCAGGTCTTAATGTTTTAAATACATTCCTATAATCTAGCTAATTGGTGTGTGTGGTGTCTGTCTTCATGGATAAAGCTGGGTATCATCTACCTAGCAATGAAAACATATGCTATGTTCTCTAATGATACTGCCTAATGGAAGCATGTGTAATGTAAAGAGAAGTGGTCTTAGCACAGAACCCTGAAGTGGAGT